CTTATTTTTTCCCCATTCCCTGTCCTCCCTTCATCCCCTCCACCCTTTCCTATTTACAAAGACTTTGTTTCCATTTTTTCCTTTTCTCACAATTTTTCCTTTCCCTTCTTTCCTTTCCCCTTCCCCTCCCACTTCCCCTACAGCTTATTCTTTTTTCAAATAGAAATTATGTGAGTTTTTACAAGCTATGTTTAAAATCATTTGTCTCTTACGTGGTTCAGAATATCTGTTTGTAAACTATTTAGATTGTATATTTTATGTCTGCTAAATCTCAATTTAATTTACAATTCTGACTAATTTTTTTAATGTATTGCAAAATCATTAAAATATTTAGTGAAATAACAGTACTTGAAAAAGGTGTACCAGCCATTTCTGCTTTATTTTATAACTGCTGGCTTTCTGCATGGTTTTTCCTATGTTGAAAATAAATATATTAATCCAATCTGTCTCTAATTTTCAAATAAAGTCATAAATGCTCTTCTGAGGAAAAAATTAGTTGTTCAGCAATGTTTTAGATTATAAGTCCCAAGTATTTTACCATCAGACTGTGAAGTAAGAATTCAAAGGCATTTTATGTTCTTCATGATAATCTAGAATTTTTATTTGATTCCAGGTAACTTTGGACAATAGACATGATGAAATGTTTTCTCTTGAATAAATAACACTTAAATTACACCAACGAAATAAATATACTGTGAGCTTAATACATTGTAAATATTACAGAAGTACTACTTTGCTCTAGTAATTTAATGACTGAAGCTACATTTAATAACAATCTTACCAGTACTTGTATACAAAGTATTATAGAGATTACTAACAAAGATATTACAGCTGTTGCAAGGATGTTACCAGCTCAACAAACATCTAACAATACAATATTCTTCTAAGAGGAAAAGTAATAATGTTAGATCTACATACAGTAAAGAGTAATGTTTTCCACTTGAAACACTGGAAATAAGAATCTAGGTAATCTGGTATATTAATTCATATTATTACAAGAAAAAGTTTCCTTTCTGGGTGACTCTGATCCCCAGGAGGCCTGGTCCAGTAAGTATACATGAAGAGAGCTGTTAGGATGTCACAGCAATGTAAAGAAACTCTCCTGTCTGAAAATTTCTGATTGGTAATCCACTGCTTAAACATCTGACTTTTAAAAAACCTATTTACATACATTCAACCCAAATCAGTAGAGAGAATGTTTCATCTATATTACAATAGGCATTGTCAACATTTCATCAGAAGGCCAGTGCAAGACAATTGTGAATAGCCATTGCCCAGCATTTAGGAGATTTTAAAATATCATACAAATATACAGTTAAAGTGTGAGAAATCTAATTTTGTGCATGATATTGATAGTCTCTTTTATGGATATGAAATGGCAAAAAATAATCAACAGGGCAGTAATTAGAGTGCTACTCATCCAGGGCCTGATTCTCATTTGGTGGTTGGGCCTGTTTCCTGCAGTGTGAATTTAGGCAGACAAAATTCCTTGACATTTAATAAGAGACAGACTTGACTCAAACTACCGGGGAGGCTTGAGAATCGTCTCAGTGGCAGGCATGTCTGCAGTGTCTCCCAGATCATGTTTCTCTTACACATATTCAATATGTAATGGAAAATAAGTGATTCTTGGAGGCAGCCTTACTTGTCTAATTGAAACTGTTAGTCTAGGTCTGAATCATTACTCTAAAGAAATTGAGTGGGTTGGGAATTTGGCCCTTTCTGAAGATGAATGATGGCAGAATGCATGGTCAGGAAAAATGTCATCCTCAGAGAAAAAGAAGATAACTGTTGCCAGAGCCTATAAATACTTAAATTTAAATAATATTTAAATTAATGGATCTAGTTAAGGGACTAGTTAATGAATGATGCTAATGAATGGTAATTCTAATGAGTATATTCACTGGAGAGAACATTTTAGTCACTTGGATTAGGAAATGATATGGGAAGTGTCAAAATGAATCCAACTAATTTTAAGTGTTTTTAAATGAAGGTGGCTAACACATATATGATGATATTTCACAGATATTTCTTAGAATATCAGTAAGCACCAAGTTTAGTGCTATCAGCCCCATTGTCCCTTAATTTTTGTATATGATTTAGGTCTTAAAAGCATAATATACTATTAAACCTACATGACATTCACACAAATACAGTTTCAAAAATGAATCCTGGAATTTTTTTATACCTGTAAGAATTTCATCTCCATTAGGTCTTCACAGTTGTGTGAAGAGATTTGGTACTGCCTGGTGAACTTGAAGACATGTGGATTAATATTCAGGATGATGCAAGACAAAAGACTGGCAATTCTTAAATGGAAACTAGAACCTGGCAAGTTTTGTTTGTCAATAATCTTATCTCCTTCTAAAGATTTTTTTCACTCTCCAGCATGCTGAGCCCTCATTCGCATATTACAGAAAGGTAAAGTGAGAGAACCAGCAGACAGTTTCTAACTGTATCCCAGCATGGTCCACAGACAACATTCCATCTTAGACCATCAATTGCCCCATCAGACTGCTTGGGTATCACCAGAGCAAAAAATGACAAGATAGATGCTAGCTTTGCACTTCTTTTCATGATATGTGGCCCCAGGACCCTATAGGACCCACTCTTTATCAGTATAAGGAGGAAAGATTGTTTGTAAGTGAAATTTGACAGGGTCAAGTGGCTCCTTAAGCACTTCCTTCCCTACTGAAAAGGGGCCTAATTCAGAGCACTTATGATACCATTAAGGAATGTGAGACTGTGGCATCCAAAGAAAGAAAGCCATCTTCGTCCTTATGAAGGGCATCTGAACAAAGCACAGCTCACACATCCCAAGTGTGCCGTGTCAGCTCTTTGTTACCTGTATCACTCACTTCTTGATTCAGCCTCCTCAGCCACATGATGTAGACGTGGTAGTCCTGTTTCAGCATGGTGTGTATAATGTTACTAAAACTGGGATCATGCTACCTACATAGGCAATTGAAAAATGCTACTGTTTGGGGTTTTTTAAACTATTTTCCTTTAGTGATTTACTTCTCCATAAACTTGATGGACACTAGGTGCTCAGAAACCAAAACACTCTTATTTTTCCACAACACTATAAATACAAATGTTTACTTGAATGACTGCCATTGATTATTCCTTACTAAACACTGGTCTTATGTAATACCTAAAGGCTAATGTATTAATACTTGGCCCAATCTCTTAAAGGGGACAATGCTTTATAATCAGAATTTTTGTCAACAAGACTTCTGGAAGAACTCAATTTTAGAAACTGCATTCATGTGCAAGTGTGCAGCAAGTAGTACAGTTTACACTTGGTCACAGTTTTCTTTATGACATTGCAGTAACAGTTACAAGATAGAAAACATACACATATACACATTTATATTCACACTCACACACAATATAACTTTACTGATCGAGACAATACTTTTTTCAATTAAAAAAATGAGAACTGTTGTTTGGCCACCAGGCATGAAATCTACTTAAACCTGGAATATAAGAATGCAATACTCTTCAAGAAAAACAGCAACTGCACAGTGATAACAATATACATTAAGATTGACACATGCTGTTTTAAGAGGTCCAGTAATAGCTAGCGACTAAAGAAAGTCAGAGATGTCAGCCTAAAAAAGTCAATATGCTTTCTCGTTTCCATTCTGATTACAATCCATTACCCAATAGAACAGCTATGGTGCAGAAGATGATAAATGTCCTCTTATGAAAATAAAGGGCTTAACAAATGTTTAAGTGTCAATGAATTCTGCTCAATACTTTGATAGTCTTCAAATTCTTCTTGTTGTTTTATCAGAAAAATAAACCTTTATAGTTATTTCAGTGTCAAATTAAGATGGAGATATTTGAAGAAATATTAAGGTTTCTAAAATATCATGGACAATATTTTTAAAAAGTGGTCTCACTGGCATATATCCACTGCTGTGTTCCATTGTTCCCATAAAAGTCTACCTTTCAGTTTTGCTAAACCAGACAAATGTAAGTAACACATAGTAAACACTGATACACAACTCACAGGACACAATACATTTTACAAAATATTTCTAGTACTCTAGTTTAGTACTATAACTGTTGTAAAAATGGACATCTCTGATACTATGGACAAATACATGTCACATAAGAATGAAAGTTGTGATTACAAAGGCATTACTCATTTGATGGCATTTTTCTATGGGTACTTGGACTTCAAATTGTGTAGCCAAAGGTTTCCCTCCTATTTCACTGAGACTCTGAAGAACTATCCAGTCACTTAAGCAGCAAGCTTTCTTCCCTGTAAACCCCTGGAGAATGGAGTTTGAGTACCTAAACGATTGAAATGTCAGTGAACTGATAAATGATCATGGTGACAATCACCTTTTCACTGAGCATGGTAAACTTAAAAAAATATAACCGATGAGACGACAGACTCTTCTAGATTTTGAGCTTAAAAAAAAATGAATTTCTTTTCCTGTGCTTCCAGGGAGGCATCAGGCTCACAGAGCCTCGGCAGACGTGTCTGTGGATACAGACATGGTCACCTTGGCAATCTTGACTGTGCTTTTGATGCAGCTTTCCGCAGCCCTGTGAACACTGGCTGTGTTGTTTGCATGCTTGTGCAGGCAGTCTGAGTCCCCCATGCTGTTATCCAGAGGCTGCGCAGTGCCTTCACACGAGGGGAACATGCTCCGGAAAGCATGTCTCAGGTCCTTGCTCCTCAGAGCATAGATGATGGGGTTCACGGTGGAGTTCAGCAGGCAGAGCATACTGCAGAAGGCAAACACCGTCTTAATGAGCTTGTTCATCTTCCCAAAAACATCATATACCATGATTGCAAGCAGAGGGCCCCAGCAGATGATCAGGACCACCAGGATCAGGACCAGGGTCTTGGCCAGCCTAATGTCCATGCGGGCTTGGTCCGGCCGGGTCACCTGTACCTTGCCATCCTCCGATGTGTGGATGATGATGCTCTTCTGAGTTCCACGCTGAATCATGCGGACGGCGTGGCTGTGAGCCTTCCAGAGAATGTACATATACGCATACACGATGAACAACAGCAGGACGCTGGTGACCCCAATCCAGAACATCAGATAGGTTTCGTCAATGAGCGGGAAAATATCTGAGCAGACAGACTGCAGTTTCTTGCAGTTCCAGCCCAGGAGAGGCAGCACGGCAATTACAATAGCTATGGTCCACATCAAGCAAAAGGCCACGACAGCCTTGGGCCTAGTAACGATCCTCTTGTAGGCCAGGGGCCTGTGTATAGATATGTACCTGTCAATGGCTGTGAGGAACAGGCTGCCCACAGAGGCTGTGAAGGAAGCTGTGACCCCACCCAGTTTGAACAGAAACACATTGGGACTATCTTTGCGGTGGAACACGTGGAAGTCAACGAAACTATAGACAAAAATGACACTCCCTAGGAGATCTGCCACTGCCAGGCTGCCGATGAAGTGGTAGGAAGGCCTGCATCGGAGGCTGCGGGAGTGGAGGATGACGCAGAGGACCAGCAGGTTCTCCAGAACTGTGAAAGTGCCCAGTGTGAGTGAAAGCACAGCGATGGCCAGCTGCTGGCTGGGGTTCAGGATCATGAAGCACTCCATATCCATGAAGTTCTCCCCACACTGGATGTTCTCATCGTTCTCCTTGTAGGATGACAGAGACTTGTTGTAGAATTCTGTAAGGTTCCCTGGGTCTGCCGGGACCAACTGGGCATTTTCTCCTGCAGTCATCTTTTCTTGGAAGGGACTGCCCCTATAGGAAGTTAAAGGAAATTTCTGTGGCAAGTACCCTAATTTGGATGCCATGTCGCCTTTGATGTCTTCATACTGGATGTCATTTGAGCCCACATAGAGGAGGTCTGTGGTGATGGTTCGGAAGGTGGTGTCTGCAAGGCCATCTAGGATCGACTTCATAACCTCAGTCTTCAATTAGGTCAGATTCAAAATAACTGAGAAAGAGATGGCAGGAGGGAGTCCTAACAGGAGGGAAAACAGATAAGCTGAATGGTGAAAAAACAGGAGGATAATGAAAATAAACATTGTAAACATTATAAAAAAACAACATCATGGTATTCCGTTCCTGTTTCTCAACACAGGTCAACTCCTTACAGATTCAGTCAACATAATTAGTCAGTCACTAAGTTAGAAGAGAGTCCTCCAAAGACAGGGGATGGAATGGCACCCACCAGAGACAAATGACTTTCATTACTTAAACTCTTTGGATTGGAGTGACTGCAACAGTCCTGAATGAACGCCGAGGGTCAAACAGGACAAGCAACATGCACTTCACAGGGAGTATTTACCACTTGGCTTCTGCCACCACACACACCATCCTGAATTGATGGGGCTGGGGAAGGCAACCATGTATCCCATGATCTCTCTTCTGGAAGGCTACCTCATCAGACAGGTAAGTCTAAACCTATGAGACAACCAAAGAATAGTAGAGTGTAGAATAAGAGTTGAGCTGTGGAGTTTGTGTACTAACTATAAAGAAGGAGAATGCTGAGAACCAGATGCAGCTCAAAGCATGGGATGATCTGTTCTACCCAGGAGCAAGTTTTCTCACCCAGGGAAGAGGAGGTTTGGACCAAGCTGTGGAAGACCAAGATCTTTAACAACAGGAAGAGTAATAATGGAGGATACCTTCTGACAGTATTTGTTATAGCACAAGCATACCAGTGACACAAGCGTAACAGAGGACAGGAGACAGACCTGATGGTTCCTAAGCCTTTCCGAGTAGATGGCACTGGAAATCAGGATAACTCAGAGGAGGGAGCCAAATTTCAAGGGTTTTTCAACTCTAAGCTAAGCAATTTGGCATTGTTTCAAAATCAACAGCCAGAGAACTGATCTCACCGTTTATGAATGTTTGTTTAAAAAGTAGCTGTTCATCTCATTTTCTTTTTTGCTAAGTTGCCCAAGCTGCCCTCAAACTTGTGATCTTCTTGCCTCAGGCTACTGAGTAGCTAGATACAGGCATGTGCTACTTCAGCAGGCTAGTCATCTCTTTAGCTTATAAAAACATTGTAAGTACAGACTGATAGACCTATACTAGTTAAAGTAATTATAAAAGCCAATATTTTATTGTCATTTGTTGTTTCTAAACATAACATACTATACTGCAGGGAGTGGAGCAGACTGCCAACATCTTGAAACAAATAAAAAATCCTGGGTTTTCTTGCTAAAATATATAGATCCAAAGTATCTGAATAATTCATTTATTAATATATTATACATTTGACAAATTATGGAGCACCTCCTATGTACCAAGCACTAATGCATTAGATACCAGTGTCTTGACAGCATCAAGAAGGAATCCCTGTTGCTAGGAAGTATAAAGTTTAGCAGAGGAGACACACAACTGGCCCATTAATTATGAGCAGGCATGGTGTGGTATGAGCTACACTTGGGGACCACAAGATACCTTGGAGCACCCAGTCCAGGTGAAGGAGCCTTCCCCAAGGAAAGGATGGTAATACCAAGAAATGTGTAGGACTCACATGGATGGGGACAAGACCCAGAGTCAAAGAAAGGATTTTTACAGTAATTACTAAGTGTCACGATGTTTTAAAAAATAGTAAATTAGAATAGGCACAAATGACTAACTGTGGCCTATCACCTGACATTTTGCCACCTCCAAGTCCAAGCAACATCACTGCTCATCAAATTAGGACACTTGCTTTCTGACCAGCTTTCCTGCCCTTCTCTAGTCCTTGTCCTTTTGATCACTATTCAGAGCCGTTGGCATATCTTCACAAATGTACGGCTCAGTATGTGACTCTCTTGTTTTAACCTCTCTGTCCTAAAGATGAAACATGAACTCTTACACAGTTTCCCTTTCAGGCTCCTGCTCTCTAAGCTATGTGTTTCAGTCAAGCTGAGCTTTCAGATTCTGACCCTCACTCTCTTGTCCCTAATCCTCCCCACACGCCATTTGCCCAGAACATAAAACTCTCCACTTCCCACCTCCACCTATAAGAATGAAGACCTAGAAAAATCTTCCCAAGAACTATCTCTCCAGGTCTCTTCTTACTACCCCGGCCTCACACTTGGGCTGTACCAGATAGACTCTAGTCCAACAAACACAGCAATCAATTGCTTCTCAGCTCAGTGGCTTTGATCCCACTGTGCCTACACTATTCTGCCCAAACACTCTTTCTGTCCCTCTGCCTGGTTAACTCCCCCAACAGTTCAATGGCACTATGTCCCCTAACTCCCCTCTTTCCTGTTTTAATGAAGTAACTTCTTTAGGACTCCTAGAATAATTCAAATAGAGTTCTAAGATTTACTAAATTTTCCAGTGTTTCTCTGGGTTTGCATCTGTTCTGCCCCTTCCTCCCACCTACCAGAAAGGACCTTATTGGGGACCTTATTTATCTTAGTATTTAACTCCTAGCATTTAGTATAACTCCTGGGATGTAGGGGGGCATAAATAAGTTTGAAGAAAATATATATTTCTATATATATGATATATATATATATCTCCAAAACAGTTCTTTTCTACCCAAGGTTGGGGGAGGCACTCTTGCAAACATGAGAAATAAGGAATCATGTTACTTGAATCAAGGTTTCTAGCCCAAGGAGCTGCTCAATCCATTTGTGCTATAAAAACACTCTACAGGTAAGGTTATTAGCATTCTAAATGAGGCTGCCTACATACTTACCTAGACTAAGTACTCAAGAATGAGCTGTATGACAGAGGCAACTATGTCCAGAGAGAGGCCAAGAAAATACTGGCCCCATCATACTAAACAGTGAACAGAGCAAGCCCTCAGCACAGGTGACAAGTAAGCCAAAAGGCTCCCTCAGCCCTTCCACGGTCCTGTAGCCCTGTGTGTAATCAGTGCAGTCTGATTTGACTGCAGCATGGTGGGAATGCCTGGCTAAGTACCCTGAACTCTCTATTGGTTAACTCTTGTCATCACTCAGGAAACTGAGCTTGTCTCCAGTCTGGGTTTTGGAGCCAGTTCTGCATGCAGTCCCTGCATTATTATAGAACAAGGTACGTGGGAGTAGCCAACTACCTGCCCAGAGGCAAGAGTGCCTGGTACAGACCGAAGAGGCACCCAGTGTGGTTAGAGTCTAGTTAGTGGCTTTGGCCAGGTGTAAAACTAGTTTCTGAGGGCTATAAAAATAAAGAACCAAAGGCCAACAGAAAGCTGGCTGACCAGGGCTGTCTGGTTCCTTCACCAAACATCTCTCCTGAGTCCTTAACCTCAGTCTGGTTCCAACTAGCTCTCAAATATCCTTGAGCTATTAAACTGTCTCTCACATTCTCATATCTTCAAGAACATGCCCTGCTGGATGTGAGGGCAATCTGGCTGCGACATCTATCACCCCATTGATCACCAGGGTTGATTTGGCTGATCTGGCTGGCTAGGAGGGTGTCCTCTTCCTCTCTCACTGCTCCATGTGTGTCCCTCTCAGAGCTACACAGCTGGTCAGAGGACAACCACCCCAATAGCGAAGGACCATTTCCTCAATAAAAGGTATATGAATAGCTGTGCTCCCCTGCTAGAACCTGCAAACAGGCTCTCAAAAACACACCTCACATGCCCCAGCACTGGGCTGTTTCTCAGGTCAACTCTGCTTGTTCACTGTAAACTTGTTTGTTAACTCTATTCATATACAAAAGCCTTCATCCACAAAGGGACACAGAAGCCACCGTGTGTTTGAATGTGGTTCCCTACGTGATCCTGGCAATTCCTCAAATCCATACTTACACAGCTTCCTGGCCCCAGGAGAGGACCTCCTGCTCTTTAAATATACCATCACTTCTGCACCATCCTCTTACCCGCTTGTCCCTTCCTCTGAACACTCATTCCCTGTTAAATTTATCTTTCCATTCCCAGCACTGGGAAGGCTAAGACAGGAGGATCACTGTGAGTTTGAAGACAGCTTGGACTACAGACCATAGTGAGTTCAAGACCAGCCTGAACTACATAGTGAGGCCCTGTCTCAAACAGCAAAACGAAACAAAACAACTGTCTTTCCAGGTCTGTGTCAACGCTACGTCCTTGAGAACTTCCTGAACAGCTGTTGCCAGCAGTTCTAGTTCCTCTAATTCATCCCTCTGTCATGTGTTTAAACACACATCATGTGTTTGCATATTTATTTCTATAATGAGAGTGTAGTTTTCAAACACAATGCTGTCTTTTGTTTCTTAGTGGTTTACCAGCCTGGAAGTAGGAGAGGAGGGAGCTAAGGGGCCCATGGAAATGTTCATCTGAACCTAATAAAATCATGTAGTTCCCGGAGCACTGCCAGGGCCTCTACCTTTAATTCATCTTCCCTGGAGTGACTAATTCTTCATACATCCCAGGTAGGGACTCATTTTAAAATTTTCATTTTATATAATTATACTAGATATAAGGGATTCAACATTCAAAAGGTAAAGATGGAAATACAGTGAAAATTCAATCCCTCATCCTTGTATTTTAGACACAGTTTTCTCAGAGATAAGAAGTTTATTACTCCTTCTAGAGAAATTCCATACTTAGTCAAGCAAATGTATCTGTATATATTTCCCCACCTCTTTACTTTCTTTTTAGAAAACAGTAACATACTATACATACTGTTCCACACCTGGCTTTCCACTTAGAAAGTACGCAATTTAGACAATGCTGTATTAGTATACAAAGCATCCCTCCTCATTTAGCAGCTGCCCTAAGGATCTGTTAGATGATTGTGACCAGCCTTCTATTCATGGGAAGTTTGAGGTGTTTATCTTCATTTGTTTTTAAGAATAATGCTACAATAAATGAACTCCACCTACCATTTTTCACATTTCTTATGGTATTGTGAGTAATCTTTCTAGTCATTTAAGCGCTTACCTTGGACTTACTGTGATGCCTCCTCCTTCTAGGACTCTACAATCAGGTGTACCACTTAAGTCTTGCTGATTTTCTCCTTGTAAGGATATATAGAGAGAGTTTATTATGGGCAGGAGGCATTCTGAACCATTTACATGTATCAATTTGGTTATTCTTACAATGGCCCTATGGGGTGCCGTTATTATCCCCATTTTTACATGAAAAGCACAAATAGGGTAAGTAATTTTCTATTAGTGTATCTAATAGATGATAGAGCTGGTTCTTAGCCCAATGTTAACCCGATTAGTAAGACCAGTATCTACTACATTGGTCAGTACAGGTGTAGAGCTCCTGTCCTTAACCTTTATGATACACTACTGTATCTCTCTAAGCTAAGACAGGCATATGACTACATCTCTGTTTCCTTTACTGATTCCAATCAGCCAAAGCACTAGCCAGTGGAGAGAACCTTGCATTAGGAGTCAGCAGACCAGATTAGTGTCAGACTGTACTTGAACAAGCAGTTATTCTTTGATGATGATGATGATGATGATGATGATGATAACACTTAAATCACAAAATTGTCCTGAAGATTAAATGAAAATGCATGGAAAGCACTTAGCATAGTGCATGGCATAAAAGTCTTCAATAAATATTAATTATCATTTTAGTTAGTATTAATGGCTCTTTGCCATATATTATATGCCAATTATACTTCAGTATGTAAGATATATTAAATATTATAACATGTACTAATTATATCTCAAGAATATACATTACCTTAATTAGATAATAGGCTGCTTATTTTTTGTCTCAGCATTTAAACCACGAAGCAAATAAAATATGAATATATGGGGGGTGTTCACTGAATGTGTATTATATTCAGGAATTGAGAAACTTTCCGTTTATCTTATTATTAAACTGTCAGTAGTAACTTTACCAGGTGCTTATTTATAAGGTCCATTTCACAGATGAAATAGAGGCCAGATTCTAAGTAAATTACCCAGAACACAAAGAGTTTGCAGATGAATTCATGTTTCTCAGATTCTAAAGTCTCTGTGTTAGGCTTTATGCGCTGTGTTAAGGATTAATAGTAACTATATTAAAGCCATTTTGCATCTTATATTCAAATCTTCCAGGCTCTTAAAATTGTAAATATAGGCATTTTGCCAATAGCAATTAACACTACTTCCTACTAAATCATTATTTCCTATCCCAGCCCATCTAGGTAAATCTGCCTACTGGCATGGCCCCAAGAATTAAAATTTTAGTCAGTATTTGGTATAGCTATGGAACTTTTGTAGTGAAGACAAATGATCACAGACCTTATTTCAGTAGCACAAAACATGTGTCCTGTGATTTACTCCATAGTAAGATCACCACATATGTGACACAATTTCCCATTTTAATGCAATCAAGCACTTTCATTACAATAAACCAGCTTGTTAAAAATCTAAGCCAGGGTATGGTATAGTTATGAGGTATAGAGTACTTTCTGTCCAATACAAGCCAACTTTAATTAAAGAACACAGTTTTTAAAAACACAGATTTTGTGTCGCTCAAGTATCTTAGTAATGTCAAAACACCACTGTGCACAGGCTATTTTAGCAGTTAATGGGTTCATGGCAGGAAAACTGTTCTCTGTATTTTAGTAATTCTTTCCTTTATTTCTACATTTAGATTATTATGGTAATTTTCACCTTATTATTTTTTGCATTGAGAGTTTTCTTTGAGAGTTCATTAGTAATATACTTAGGCTTTGGGAGACGTAGCTGCCATTAATTTTGTTTTTGTTTGCTACTGGGGAAATCATAATTGGAAATTTGTAGAAAGATGTGTAGATGCACCTATTAAAGAAGCAGTTAGTTTTTTATTACAATTATAGTAAAAGAATGATTAGATGACATTTAAGATTTTTTTAGAATTATGCTTTTTAAAATATAACCAATACTCTAACAATTTAAGCTATAAATCATGGCTTTATAGTAGTAATAAAATATTTCCATGTATTAAATCTATTATTGTAGAAAAAGCCTTTCAGTTTTCAAATAACATTACCTGATCTTTTTGTCCATTTCTATATAGTCATGCCTCCCTCCTTCAAAAAATGCATATTATCAAGTAGCAGGCTGTGATACCATCAAAGGAATTTTCTGGGTATGACAATAGCATAGACTTTAAAAATATTTTTCCAGATTATAAATTTTTATTTCTATAACCATTAAGAGTATAAAATATTCATATTTTTTATTAGGCTGAACATGGAGTAAGCCCTAAAAACAAGACTTCAAATAGAGCTATTTCTACATCACTTTAATTTACAGTAGTTATTGTAGTTTTCACTGTCCTATTGAAGACCTTCTTTATTTGACAGGGACATTTTAATATTTAGGACTTTATCTCTGCTGCATCTGGAGTCAAACCATTATGGTTCTAGCCCACGTAGCATCTCCGGGGAAACAGGTAGTAGGCTGGTATTTACTATCTGCAGAATGTTATGTCTAAGAAAGCAGAAAACCTTCTAGAAGTATCAGAAGAACTAGTGCTTCTTAATACAGGTTTATAGTGGCCCACCATACTCCTTTAATATTTTAAGTTTATGAATGCTTTAAGAAGACAATGCCAAGCTCATGTTGTCTGTACTGATAGGGGTCTTGGATACCAAATGAGGAGTTCCAGGTTCTTGCTTTACCCTGCTGTTTTCCCTTCATTTTTGATTCCATATTCTGCTTGACTGCCTCCTAACATCTTTGTAAAGGGCTCAAGAGAATGAAGGTCTCACTGGATACATTTGTTATTTTCCATTCATTTCTGGGAACAAATCTGGTTCCCACTAATTTGATCAAGAAAAATACCTTGCTAATGTATTTCTCTAAAGTTAGTAGGAAAAATTCTAGTTGATTCTTGTAACTACATTATGTCCAAGTCTTGTCCACAATAGACATGGCCAGTCTCATGGACTGACATAACATGCTAAATGATGCTTCTGTGTCAGCTGAATGAGCAGTGAGTATTTTTTCTATCATCTTCTACAGCAAAGTAAAATAAAGTATTGACTTAATTATTCTGATAATTCAGGCAAAATACATAATACTTCTTCCTCGTATTAATGTCAGCTCCTTTTCCTATATATGAAAGAAAATTTCATTATTCTTGTAATGCTTGGTTGGCTCTCAAAGCTTCAGCTGTTCATATATTTTGTAATAAAAAATGGAAGTTGTTATTAAATGTGCTGTTTGGTTAGGTCTGTGCTTTATTTTCCATAAAAATATACCAACTAATAGGAACTAAAGACATGAAAACATTTGCAAGGCTATATTTATTTTCTTTTTCTTTTTTTTTTTTGAGTCAGGGTCTCACTATATAGTTCAGGCTGACCTTGAACTCACTGTGTAGTCCAGGCTGGCCTCAAACTCGAGGCAATCCTCCTACCTCACCCTCCCGGTGCTGGGATTATAGGCATGTGCCACAACACGTGGCTTTTATTTTCAAATTTAATGTAAAATATGCCTTATTAGTCAAAATTTAAAGCAACGGTGGTGAACCTATGGCACACATGCCACAATAGGCTGTTTGTATCATTAAAAGTCTAAAAGGCTTACCATCACTGATTTAAAGGTTTGTTAAAACTTAATTTCAGAGCTCAAGAAATTAATGCCTTGAAATTACACGGGCTTAGGCACTATTTTGTGATGATTTTATAAGAAAAAGTGAGTTAATAATACAAGTTAAATGATTTGGTGACTTTTATAACAAATTTCATCTACCATTTAATTTTGCTCTGCTATTTAGATGTTTCCTCCTACTAAACACCTTGACCTTTTCCTTGAGAGAGACAGCTTTGCCACATAGTCTGTAAAACAGTAATTATCACAACATTCCCCAACCAAAAACATGCAGAGTTTTCATTCAATGAAAGGCATGATCATATATACAATAATCTATAAGATGATCTTTATTTTGCATACAAGATTTCATTAAAAGTAGAAATCAATATTTTATTCTGGCCCATAAAATATGTAGCGCCAAGTACACAGGTTCTTCTTTTTACAGTTCATTACCAAGAACTCTACAACAGGTAACAGTATGCTACATGATGTCTAATCGTGTGACATAACTTTCAGTTTCTTCTCCCTTCATCCATTGAAAAATGTATTTTCACTTTGAATCTATAAGCACCCAAATTAAATCTAACTAAAAGCCAGGACTTGTTTCTCCAGCTTGAAATCTGAGATGTGGATTAAAAAATGTACACTAAAGAAAATCTCAATTTCCAAATATTTTCATCTAAGAAACACCTGAATGTTTATGTTATGGGCATTGTGCTAAGTGTATACATTATTTTCTTTAATACTATTTATATGAAGTAGCTGTTATTACAATCTTCATTCTGCACACAAGAAAGTTAAAGGCTTACAAGGGTAAAAATGCTTTGCCTAAGGTATCCAACTACAGGGGCAGAGCTGGAACTTCATTACAGGTATGGATAATTCAGCCTCTGCTTGTCACCTTGAGGTCCAGGAAAGATTGTTAATAAGACACCTTTCTTTCATTTCTAGGGAGCACAAAGGGTTAGTTTTGGGAAAAGGAGGTCATAAACAGTACGTGATAATGAACAACTAAAATCTGAAAGGATGATTCATTGATAGCAAAAATGTTGCCCATAGAACCTGCAAAGAATCTTTGTCCCATGGTGTTTAGGGACAAAGTATGACAATTAAGTAAACTCTTAAGTTGTAAGTCTGGATTAGCTCCTTATTTGCAGTAGTTGTTGGCAAATGAATGAAATCTAAGTTAATTTTGCCACTTTTTTAAAATTGGGAAAGGTGTTTTTCATTTTGCTCTTTGCTTCACTAGACAATTACAGGAATCATAGGTGGTAATAACACCTTTCCACAACACCAGTGAGACATGAAGAGAGCACCTTCTTTAGGTCAGAATGAGACAGAATGGCTGTTAATAAACAAAAGCCTGAAACTTCCATTCCCTGCATGG